ATTTAGCCATTTATATGCCCCGTTGTTGGTTGTAAGCAAGGGAATCGCGTGTTTTTAGTACTTTACAACCAGCTGTTGATTCAAAGTCGCCACAAAACAAAGACTCCAGACACGGACGAGCAACTGGACTGCCGGTCCAAACGCTGCCGGAGGTTTATTTCCACAGCAAATGTGGTTTTAAAAGAGCGCCTGATAGTTTGCTAAATCGCCGTTGACACGGGTTAAGGTAAGGAACGTCAAAATACCACTTTTTAAGAAGCTTTAGTGCCAGAACCGTTTGTCGAATGCATTATTTCTAAGAGTAAGCCGAGCTTTATGGTTTGATCTGGAGAGTGATCTTGGGTTAAGAACCTCGGGTGGGATGTCCCATCCATTGCACTTCAAAGGACAGACGTGGATCGGCCCCAAACGTGATTCACAGATCATATGCGAATAGTGTCCCTTCAGGCTGTCTTTCCCAGACGTCTGTTATCTTGTCGCGTCGTGTGTGTCCCCATCTGCTGTAAGCCATCTAACGTTACTCTAGGCCTGAGAGAGAGTCCTGGCGGGTCCGAGGGGGCTGTGGGGGTTGACAAATGCTTTATTTGGTAGTCGCTTGTGTAAATATGACTCCCTGGAAGTCGAAATGATGTAGCCCTTTTTTTTCGTGAGTCATGATCCTGTTTGGGATATGCTGAACACATTAGACCACCGATGACTTAACTGATATCAACACCAAAGGGTCATATTGTGCCTCAAAGCCCATCAACTGGGGGAACTTTGGCATTGTTACAGCGCCAGGACTAAACATGACTGCATTTTATGTGATTAAATGCATTGTGCCCGTGCGTTGTGATGTGTTAGGAGAAATTGAAAATGGCATTAGACACGAACAGCGCTTTGAAGTGCTTTCGGCCCAATTTTACTAGGAAAGATCCCGCTTTTAATTAATGTTGTATTTTTGCCGGATGTTTTAAAGGTGCACTCAGTAATTTCTTCCTTATTAAAAGGTTTCCGAAATGACATCAGTTTTGAAATCTATTTTAAAGGTACACTACCATAACAATCCAGTCATATTTCAGTCATATCAGTAGCCTAAACTGAGCGGGTCGCCTCATCTGGGCAACATCACGTGACCAGCTGAATATTATCTTTGGTTGACCTCTTTTGCTCGTTAATTATTATCAATATAGCTGACTGAAAATGGCACATTCCTGCAATATCAATAAATAAAGTATTTAGGGTGCTCTACATGTAGGTGATTACTAAAGTTTAGACTAGTGTAGTGTTATGATATAAACTTTGTTGTTTGTCTCTTATTCTGACAGAACCCACCCTTATAGAAATTCCATGGTAACCATAATCTCTGCCATTGTTACTACAGCTGTTGCTGCTGCAATAAAAATGGGAACTTGGTGTCAGCCTTCACAAAAAGAACAAAATTCAAAGCTTAGTACACTTCAAAGTAAGGTCCATATTGATTATGGTTTAGTAGTAACCGTAACTGGTAGCTGTGTTATTTTGTTTGAAGCTAAGATTGAAATATCAGGGATTTTTTTTTGTTTTTTGAAAAGGTTAAAATTCCTTTAAAGGGGTCATATGATGCTTTTTTTTAAAGATCAATATTTGGTGTAACAGAATATGTTGACATG